GGTGCGTGGGAGAAGCACCTCCCTGCCCTCTCTGTCTCGCTCCTGTGCCCTGACAGGATTCCTCGTGTGTCCCAGCCACCTCAAGAAGGGGTTTATTAGAAAACAGTTTTTACAAGGCTTTTGTTGAAAGCTTTTGGAACATCCGCATCTGTTACAGCACCAGGCTCCCCCCACCAGCACTGTCCCCTCAGCTGCACACTCACTGAGGCTTCCAAAGTGCCTTCCCTAGTGCCTCTGTGAGTCATAGAGTCATAGCTCTGCTCAGCAGGAGCTGGGCTGGCTTTTTCCTGACGTGTCCAGTAGATCCATGTCCACACCGCTCTGCGGAGCCATCCTGGCATGGCAGTGCCTGGCCAAGCCCTGGCCTTTCTCCAGCCTACTTTTCACTTGGGTCTCTCTGTCCTTGCTCACGGCCTTTTTCTTGGCCTCCTGCCATCATCATCATCATCATCATCCCAGAATGGTTTTTGTGGGAAGGGACCTTAAAGCTCATCTTATTCCACTCCCTGCCCTGGGCAGGGACACCTTCCACTATCCTAGGTTACTCCAAGCCCTGACCAATCTGGCCTTGAACACTTCCAGGGATGAGACAGCCACACATTCTCTGGGCAACCTGTGCCAGGGCCTCCCCACCCTCACAGGGAAAGATTTCTGCCCAGTATCCCACCTAACCCTGCCCTCGGTCAGTTTGACACAGAAACATTTATAAATTGCCTCCATTTCAGCCCCTTGGAATGTCCAGACACTCCATGTGCTCGCAGTTCCCTCCACCACATCACCCTCACAGACAGGGATTCTGGGATTTATTCCTGGTGAGGGATGGGACATTGTCCTTCATCCTTACCTCACCCTCGCCTGGCCAAGGTGGCAGCAGGGACAGGTCGAGGTGACTTTCCTCTGGCCAGGTGGGCAACGGTGGCCACTCCCACATCCCCACATTCCCTTCTTCTCCTTCTGCTCCTTCTCCTCCTCCTCCTTCCCCTTGTCCTCCTCCAGCAGAGATGTGTGATGCCCCCTGCAGTCCTGGCCTCTCACCCCCTATGTGGGTGTTCACAGACCACCCTGAGAGAACATTTTGTGTCCCTTTGGACCACCAGTGTCCCCCAGCACTGGGAGTCCCGCAGGTCGCCACTACCTCCCACCAGCCAGCAGGATATAGGGCACAGGGATGGGATGAGGCACAGCAGGCACGGGGATAGAGCATTCCCCAGCCAAAGCCTGCACTGGGGTCGAGCGGATCCTGTCCCCAACAGCCCCTGTGGAGTGGGACCCCCTCAGTCAGCACAGGGGCTGGCACTCGAGAACGGAGGAGCAGAGGGAGCAGAACAAACAGATGGAGCTGGGGCTTAGCACAGGGATAGGAAAAAAACAGGAGGGAACTTCAATGGGAAACAAGGGGAAAAGTTCAAAGGCGGGAGTAGTTGGGGACCAGCTGGGGGCTTTCAGGAGCCAGCATTCCCTCAGGGATGGCCGGCTGACCACTCTCTGTGGACAGGAGACATGCAGAGATTGAAACTGCTTTTTAGGATGAATTTCATGTTTAGAGCCTCAACTTTCTCAGCTCCATCTGCAACGTTTCCATCTGACACTGCCGTTCGCGAGTGCCTCAAACAGCACCACTGCCAAGAGGAGAGATGCCGCCTCCTCCTCATCCTCCTTCTCCCACTCCTTCTATTCCTCCTCCTCCTCCTGCCGCTGCTCCCACCCCCAGACCAGCCGCTCCAGTGCCTCTGGTGTCCCTGCCCATGGCAGGAGTGTGGAATGGGACGGGCTTCAGAGCCCCTTCCCACCCAAACCATTCCGTGACATCAGACAGTGCCAGAGTCTATGTGGGGCAGCAGGAGGGTCCCCACTGCAGAACCCCAATGCCCACCCAGGGTGTAGGGCTGGGGAGCAGCACCCCCAGAACAGAGCCGAGGGGAGGCCAAGGCCCAGGGCTCAGCTCCAGTGGGTGTCTGGCCCCATGGGCAGAGCGGGGATCCCGGAGGGCTCTCCAAGGCTTTAGGGCTTCTCAGGGCACTGGGGGCCCTGAGGTCCTTGATCACTCTCGCAATAGGAACTGGGGCTTCATCTCTGTGGGGACATCTCTGTCAGGAGAGCCAAGAGCTCCACTGGGGGACAGTGCTGGGGGACACTGCTGGGGACACTGCTCCTCTTTCCTGGACTGAGGGGAGCAGGAGCCCCATCCCTCCCCGAGGGGCTCAGGCTGCCCCTCCTCCCGCATACCCTGCACGGCAGCGGCTCCTATTCCCAAACCTATCGGCACTCGGCTGAGCTGCAGAAGCAGCTCGGTGGGAGGAAGCTGTTTGATGTCACCCTCCAGTGACACGGACTGTCCTCTCCGGGCCGGGGATCAGCCAGGAGCTTTCCCCGGAATAGCTGCAGCTCTGGAATCTCGCTCTGGAGCGTGGAGGTACCAGCTCCACTGTTAATCCCACCCGGATCCACAGTGTGGCTGTCAAACCGCAAATCCAAAACCCATCACTCGGGTGCAGCACCTCCACAAGGCTGCGGGTAGCTCTGGTGTGGGGCAGAGAGGAGCAGAGCGTCACACCTGGGGCTGCTCGGAGGGGACATCTGTCCCGCAAAGGGGTAGTGCATCCCCTCACTGTGCCAAGGACACGAGGTGGCCACCGGCCTGGTGAGGTGACCTCAGTTGGAAGGACCACAGTTGTCTGTGTCCCTTGCTGTCACGCCCTGTGACATCATCAGCCCACCTCAGGCCACCCCGTGGGTCTCAGAGACAGCTGGGACATGTCCTGCTCCCACAGGCGTCCAGGTGCTGCACCCCAGGGTCCTCTCCTGGGCCGGGGTGGTCACAGGAACCTGGGGCAGGATCCCTCTGCGACCCCCCTCTGGTCACAGATCTCAGCTCACAGGAGCTGAACCGTGCAGGCACCTGGTCTTTGTGAAAAGAAGCTGAAAGTGGAGCAAGGTGGACTAAATTCCCCTAGGCACCAACCAGGGGGAGTTGGGGGTTCCAGCCAGGGCATGGGGCCATTGACCCTGGGAATGCCAGCGGGGCAGGAGGGGGCTCAGCCTCAGTGTCTGTCTGAGAAACACTGAGGAAAATTGAACCGGTGAGTAAAGAGGAAATGGAAGGGGCTGTGAACCCTGACAGGTTAAAGGCAGAAACACAACAGGGCAGCCCTTCTCATGGAAATGTTCTCCCAATATCCAACCTGAGCCTCCCTGGCACAGCCTGAGGCCGTTCCCTCTCCTCCTGTCCCTGTTCCCTGGGAGCAGAGCCCGACCCCCCCCGGTTCCCCCCTCCTGTCAGGGATTGCAGAGCCAGAAGGTCCCCCCTGAGCCTCCTTTTCTCCAGGCTGAGCCCCCCCCCAGCTCCCTCAGCTGCTCCTGCTGCTCCAGCCCCTTCCCAGCTCCCTTCCCTTCCCTGCACACGCTCCAGCCCCTCCGTGTCTTGTCCTGAGGGGCCCAAAATGAGTGCAGGATTTGAGGTGGGGCCTCAGCAGCACCCGGCACAGGGGACAGGCACTGCCCTGGCTCTGTGCCCACGCTGGTTCCTGCTGTGTTAGAGAGCCCCCTGGCTCATCTCCCAGCCCTGGTGGGGACAGAGCTGCAGGAAGGGGATGGGGCACCTTTGAGTGCTGCTGCCCCCAAGGGAGCCACTCGGGGAGCCTAGGCAGGGGAGGAGGGCCCTACCTCTGGAGCAGCAGTTCCAGAACCGGCCAGTGCTTTATACCACTGGTATTTTAGGAGAACATTGAAAAATCCAAGGGATTGGGAGCGGCCTCAGGCAGGACAACTCGAGGCCTCTGTGGTCTCTTGGCAGTGGATTTAAGGTGCACAATCTGCTTAGCTTTCCCAGGAAATTGAGGGGTGACTGGATGTACTTTCACGGGAATATTAAATGGCTCCTTAATCGAGGCTGAGAGGATGGAAAAGTCTCAGCTTCTGGGAGCTGAAGCCAGACAAATCCACAGTGACAACCAGACACCGGATTTATCAGGGAGGGGATGAGCCGCTGGATAAACCCTCAAATCTGAGCAGCCACCACCCCTCCGATGGTGTGTTCGGGCTCATTCCGACATCGGGAAGGGATAAACCCCAGTTCTCCACCCACACAGATCAGTCGTGGTTGAAATCTGCTGCTGCTCTCACATCCATCGCTGCCACAGCCCTGGGATCTGCTCAGCAGCTCCAGCACAGGCTCACCTGCCCTTCCCACCCGAAGGCAGGTCCCACACAGGATCCTGAAGGGAAGTCACAACTTCCCTCCTGGGAGCCCCCCAGTCCCCCGGATTCCCCCAGCAGGAAGAGGCTGCCCTTGCACGCTGCTGCCTCCTGATTTTATAGTGGTTTGTGACTAGTTTCATACTGGGAGTCACTGGAATAACACTGGGAGTATCTAGAACGGACTGAGATCATACTGGGAGGGATTGGAAGTGACTGGGATCATACTGGGAGTGACAGGAGCTGTATTGCAGGTGACTAGGAGCAACTGAGACCATGGTAGGGGCAACTGGAACCACACTGGAGGCAATTGGGATCGTACTGGGAGCAGCTAGGCCCACGGTGGGATAATATTGAGATTATAGTGGAACTGACCAAAATCATACTGGGAATTACTGGAATAATACTGTGAATATCTAGGAGAGACTGGTATCATACTGGGAGTGACTGGAAGTGACTGGGATCATACAGGCAGTGACTGGAGCCCTACTGGGAGTGACTGGGTTCATACTGGAAGTGACTGGAGCCATAGTGGGGGTGACCAGGAGCAACTGGGAGCAAGCTGGGAGCAACTGACATCTGACTGGGAGTGACTGGGATCATACTGGAACCATACCGGTATCATGAGGAGCGACTGGAAGCGATCGGGATCACACCGGGAATCCCTGAGGGCAGCGAAGGGCTGGACTACAATTCCCGGCGTTCCCCGCGCGACCGGACACAACTCCCGGCGTGCCCCGCGCCCGCCGTCGCGCGGGACTACACGTCCCGGCGGCCCCCGCGCCCCGCCGGAAGCGGCGCGATGGCGGCCCGAGCGCGGCCCGGAGCGGCCCCGGCCCCGGTTCCCCGCGGCCCCGCGGGCTGAGGCCACGCCCGCCCGGAGCCCCGCTCGGAGCGCCCTCCGGGCCCCGCCGCCGCCATGGCGCTGATCGAGGGCGTCGGCGACGAGGTGACGGTGCTGTTCGCGCTGCTGGTGGCGGCCGCGGTGCTGGGGCTCGCCTGGGCCTCCACGCGCGCCCCCGAGCCCGCGGCGCCGCCGCCCGAGGCGGGTCCGAGCGCGGCCCCCACCGAGCGCAAGGCCCCGGCCCCGGCCGCAGCCCCGGCCGAGGGAGCGGCGGCCCCCGATGAGGCGGCGGGGCTGCGGCACCGGGAGCCCCCCGCGGCCGCCCCCGAGGGCCCCGCCGAGCCCACGCTGGTGCTGCGGCTCAAGTTCCTGAACGACACCGAGCGCCTGGCGCGGGTGCGCCCCGGAGACACCGTCGGGGCACTCAAGAGGTGAGGGGGGCGGGCAGCGCCAACGTGTCCCGGCCCGGGGGACCCCGGGAGGGGACAGCCGTGCCCGGAACAGGTGGGCTTGGCTCGGGTGCCTGTGCCCGGCGCTGTGGCCGTGGGACAGCCCGTGCTGGCAGGTGAGCCCTGGGGCGGGTGACGGAGATGTGCCGAGCGGCAGGGGTGGACAGAGAGGACTGCTCTGGCGGGTGCCAGCTGGGGGGGACACAGGGGCACAAGTATGCAGGGCAGAGCGGGTGCCGCGGTGGGCACATCCGTAGGAGGACGGAGGGGACTGACCTGGCGGGTGGCACCGGGGGTGGGTGATGGGGACACGGGCTCGGGTTGTGCGGGTGGGGTGGGGGTCCGGGTGGGCACATCGGCGCAGGGTGGGTGGAGGTGCCTGTCCTAGCGGCGATGTCACCCCTGTCCCTGTCCCGTCCAGGACCTACTTCCCCGGGCAGGAGCAGCAGGTGCGGCTGATCTACCAGGGGCAGCTGCTGCGCGACGATGCCCAGAGCCTGGCGGGGCTGCACCTGGGCCACCTGAGCGTCCTGCACTGCCACCTGTCCCCGCCCAGCGCCGCCCCCGCCGCCCCCGGGCCCCCGGCCCCCGCGGCCCCGCGCCCGCCGCGCTGGGCGTGGGCAGCCTGGCGCTGCCGCTCTTCGTGCTGCTGCTGGCCCTGCTCTGGTACCTGCAGCTGCAGCACCGCCACGTCTTCACCGCCACCGCCACCACCTGCCTGGCTGGGCTCACCCTGCTCGTCACCTTCGTGGCCTTCGCCATGTACCGCAGATAGCGCGGCCCAGACACGCTCCCGGAGCCTGAGCCGTGCCCGGACACCGGGGGAGACCCCAGCCCACTGTGGGAGCCCCCCAGCCTGCCTGGGGCTCTGCGTTCAGCTCACCCAGTACATCAGAACTAGGGGTGCCGGGCTCCAGACTGTGTCCCCCGGGGGCTGCAGGCCCAGGGGGTCCCCCACCTCGTGCTGGGGCTCCGGGGACAGTGCTGTTGCAGGAGTGGAGGCTCAGCTACCTCTAGGGGGGGTCCCGGTGCTCCCTGGCCCTGCACGGAGTGTCCCACGGCCGCTCCACGGGTGGCTGTGCCCCCGGTCCTCCCAGCGGGGGCACAGCCCAACCCCTCAAGGGGGCAGCTCCTGGGGTCCCGCTGCAGGGGTGAAATGCTCCCTGCGGTGCCGGGGGTCCTGGTGCCGCCAGGATGGGCTCCAGAGAGCCCGAGGGTGCCAGGGGTCCCTGTGCCGGGGCAGCGCGCCCCACGGGCGTCTCGGTACCGGCCGGGATACGCTCCCCGCTGTCCCGAGGGTCCCGGTGCTGTGCCGGGGGATGCCGCCCCCCACCGCCGTAACAATTAAAGCGGAAGGACTGTGACCGGCCGCGGCGTCCCGGCTCTGCTGCGCTGTGGGGAGCGATGGGGGGACGGGGGGGACCGAGGGGAACACGGACCGGGGGACACGGTGACCGGGAGAGCGGGGGGCGGGGCTCCGGGAGGGGGCGGGGCCTGCGCATCCAGCCACGCGCTCCGCGGGACCGCAGTGCGCCTGCGCTGGCATCCCTGCTCCTTCGCGGCGCGCTCCTCATTGGTTGAGGCTGAGGGGCGATTTGCATGCGGCGCGCGCAGGCCCCGCCCCGGAAGGGCCGCGCGCGGGGCGGGGCCGAAGATGGCGGCGGGGCCGCGCTCCCGGCCCGGGGCCCCGCGGCGCTGAGCGGCAGCGGCGGGACCGAGCGGCCGCCAGCGCCATGTACGGCCGGGACGGGGCTCCTGGGGAGCGGGGGGGCCGCGGCGGGCCCGGCACCGCCCGAGGGTCGGCGTGTGCCCGGGAGAGGGCTGTGGGCCGGGGATCCCGGGACCTCGGCGCTGGGCGGGACGGGGGCCCGGGTAAGGCGGCGGTCCGGGTGCCAGGGGCCCGTGCGGGCGGGGATCCCGGTGGATGGGGGGGCCCTGGCAGGTCGGGGGTCCCCGTGGGTGGGGCGGCCCGCGTGTCCCCGCCGGCCCCGGCCGTCCCGCAGCCCCCTCACTGCCCGCACCCGCGCTGTCCCCGCAGGGTCCCCCGGAGCCGCGGAGCCCCCCGCGCCGCGCCGCCCTCGCCATGCTGTGCCCTCTGCTGTGCCCATGGCTGCGCGCTCTGACCCGGGCGGGCCCGCGGGGCCCGGCTGCCCGTGAGCGCCGCGGCGCCGCGATGTTCCCCGCCTGCTGTTGCGCGGGCAAGGCCAGGCCGAGGCTGCTGCTGCCCCTGGACCCCTACGGCCATGGGCTGCTGCCCCCCGTGCCCCCGGACGGCGGTCGGGGCCGGGCCCACGGCAAGAGGAAGAGCTGGAACTTCATCCACGAGAAGATGAGCTACGACACCTTCTTCACCATGAAGCGGCTGATCGAGCGCTCGCGCAGCATAGGCGAGGTGCTGCGCTGGGTCACGCAGAACCCGGGCAAGGTGTCGGCCAGCCACTATCCCATCGCGCTGCACAAGCTGGGCCAGCTCCTGCAGCAGCAGCCGGGGCCGCCCGCGGGGGCCGGGGTTGGGCGCGGGCCCGCGGGGCAGGTGCTGGAGCAGCCCGAGTTCCACGCACTGTGCCAGGCCATCGTGAGCGGCTGCGCCAAGTTCGACAACTTCAGCATCGTCAACTGCCTGTATGCGGCAGCTGCGCTGGGTGAGCCACCCCGGGGGTGGGATGGCACTGGGGTGGGGGGCTGTGTGGCACGTGGAGCTGTGCCCTTCGAGGGGCACGGACTGCTCAGACCAGTTCTCCTCTATTCGTGGGGCAGGAGGGCTGGATGCCCTTCAGGGAGGGCCCTGCTCAGGGGGCAGCACTGCCCTGGAAGACTCTGCTCTGAGGGTTCTGCTCGAGGGGCAGGAGGGCAGGGTGCCCTTGGCAGCCCCGGGAGTAAGTGCTGGAGCCAGCAGGAGCCAGGGCACTCGGCAGCACTGCCTGGCCAGTGTGGATCAGCTGCTCCTGGAGCCCAGTTCCAGGCCCTGAAAACCAGGAAACACCTGAGCACTAACAGAGGAGACCGAGGCCTTGGCTGAACCCTTGCAGGGCACAAGCCCTATGTCACCAGGTGTTGCTCTGCAGGGAAGAATGTTTCAGGTGTTTGGGTTCCTGAGCAGCTGCCTTTGGATGTTACAGAGCTGGGACTGTGTCCCAGGGGCTCCCCCTTCACTGAGCATGGGAGACCCTGCACATTCTCCTGTCACAAGGAGGGGATTGCAATCTGCGTAAAAGAGGAGTGGGCAGGAGCGCCAGGAGGGATCCTGACCCGCTCAGGTGAGACCCCACCTGCAGAGCTGCCTCCAGCTCTGGGGAACAACAGCAGGAGGACGTGGAGCTGCTAGAGTGAGTCCAGAGGAGGAAATGGAGATGCTCTGAGGGCTGGAGCCCCTTTGCTCTGCAGCCAGGCTGGGAGAGCTGGGGGGATTCCCCTGGAGAAGAGAAGGATCCAGGGAGATCTTCTGAGAGCCCCTTGCAGGGCCTAAAGGGGCTCCAGGAGAGCTGGAGAGGGACTGGGGACAAGGGATGGAGGGATATTGGGAAGGAATTCTTGGCTGTGAGGGTGGTGTGGCCCTGGCACAGGTTGCCCAGAGAAGCTGGGGCTGCTCCATCCCTGGAAGTGCTCAAGGCCAGGTTGGATGGAGCTTGGAGCAACCTGGGCTAGTGGAAGGTGTCCCTGCCCGTGGCAGGGGGTTGAATGGGATGAGATTCAAGGTCCCTTCCATCCCAGTCTGTTCCAGAATTCCATGATCTGGCGGGTGCCTGCCCTTCCATCCGCGGCTCCCCCAGCCGTTCTGGTTCCTGTCCCCGCAGCCCCCCCGGGCCGGGGCTCAGCCACGATTGCTGCAGTAACTCGAGCCCCAGGCTGGGGAGGGGGGACCGGTTCTTTCCTCTCCCCTCGGGCCGTTGGCACCGGGTGTTTGTTGACACTGAACCGGGGCTGCCCTCGCCAGGACCCCCGTGCTCGACCACCCAGCTCTGCTGTGCCCCCCACTTTGTTCTCACCCCTCATTAACACAAACTCCAAGCCCCTTTTGAGGCCTTTTTTCAGAACAAAGCAGCTGCTCAGACCAATTCTGCACATTCCCCCTCCTGAGTTGTGATTAACGATAACCCACAGTGACTCGCCCTGTACTGCCCATGCCAGCCCAGCCCCGGGAGGGGCACTCTGTGCCTCTGCTGAGGAGATTCCTCCTGACAGTCAAGGGTTGGATAACACTCCTGAGCTGCAGGGAAGTGTTTCCCTGGGAGCCAGGTCAGACAGGCCAAAGCTGAGCCGGGAAACGGGAGAAGGTCAGAAAAGCCAAAGGATTAGTCCCTGCCGGAACAAACAGGGTTTAGTTTGGTCACGTGAGAAGTCTCAGTTGTTTTCCAACCACAACATTTTTTAAGGAACTTTTTGAGGTGAATTTTTTGGTTGCCCAGGGTAACTGTGGCTGCCCCAGCGCTGGAATTGTTCAAGGTCAGGTTGGACAGGGCTTGAAGCAACCTAGTCTTTTGGAAGGAGTCCCTGCCCATGGCAGGGTGAGGAACTGGATGAGATTTAAGGTACCTTCCAACCCAAACCAGTCTGGGATTTTGGGATTCTATGACTTACTTGTCCTGAAGATGCTTGAGACTTAGGAAATGAACCTCACTCGTGCAGGTGGACTGCACGGCTCCCATTCCAGTGGGGTGGGTGGGAATGACCCCACAGCTCCACGTGTTTTCCGTGGTGCGGATGCACTGATGTTCCAGCCAGGCTTTGCCTTCCCTTCCCCTTCTGCTCCTTGTTTTGGTCCCTGACCTGGCACATCCCTCCTGCCCCAGCGGTGGCCTCGTGCCTGAGCTCCGGAGGTGGTGGTGCTGTGGCGCTGAGCTGTGCCCAGGGTCTGATCCGTGCCCGTGTCCCCGCAGGGCTGCCCGGGGAGTCGCCGCTCGTGCGGGTGCTGGAGGACGAGTCCCGCAGCCGCCTGGGCCGCTTCAACCAGAAGGACGTGTCGATGGTGTTCAGCAGCGTGATGCGGCTGCACCCCTCCAGCCCCCACCCCCTGGTCGAGTCCTGCCTCAGCAGCCTGGAGCGGCACCTGGAGAAGGAACGGCACCCGCAGACCCTCTTCCTGCTGCTCTCCTACTACCGGCTGCGGGCGCAGGCGCTGCAGGGCCACGCGGCCTCCGACCAGCAGCTCATCAACAACCGCAAGATCCTGCGGCTGGTGCGCCACACGCTGGGCCAGGTGAGCGCCATGCGGGAGCACGAGCTGGCGCTGCTGGACGAGATGCTGGCCCTGTGCGCCCAGGAGGCCAACAACAAGGCCCTGGAGGCCATCTTCAGCTCCCAGCTCTTCTACGAGAACCGGCAGGAGCGCTTCATCCGCAGCATGGCAGGTGAGGGTTGCCCGGGTGGGCTCCCAGCATTGCTGCTACCCACACAGGGGGAGCACGGGGCTCTGGCTGAGTGGGGAACGTGGAGGGATCTGGCTCTGCAGCCTTGAGGGCACCTTCCTGGGCCCTGGGGACGTTGGGGTGGTGAAATCTCTGGCTGGGGCCCTGCCGAGCTCCAGGGGTGGAGCAGGAGGAGGTGTTATGGCCACCCTGTCGCCAACTGCCCAGTCCAGCCCTTCCAGGGGGGTGGGATCCCCCATTTCTCCAGGGGCTGGTTTTCCACCATGCCTCCAGGTGGGACACAGTGGAATTTCAGTGGGGTTTTACAGAAGGGCCACACCCTCTGCATGTTCTTGCTATGCTCTAACTGTGCTTTGGCTCTGCATGACAGGAATCTGCCTGAGCCTCTCACTTGGCCCATACCTGAGGGTTTTTGGGAGCTGTCTGGGTTTTGGGAGGGCTGGTGCTGCTGTCCGGTCCTGTTCCCCTTGCCTGCCCTGGACCTGTGGTGGGAGCAGAGGCAGCCCTGTGATGGTGCCCCTGCTGTGTTGGCAGAGTGGCTGCCCCGGAAGGCGGA